TATTTTGGCTTTTTGGCAGTAGAGCTGTTATTATTACTTTAACCCTTTTAACTTTTGTTTTCTTTTTTGTCATTTATATACATTGATGAATATTAGATGAGTTCTTAAAGCTAAGCACTTGGTGAACGAACGAACGAAGGTTAGCTTACGGGATGCTGTGAGTTGATTGAAGGAGTCGTTAATGTTGAGATAATTTTGTAGCGATAGAGTTTCATGTCAGTTCCAGTTTATTGAAAGCACTAATTAGAGACTATCATTAAACCACAGAGAAGCAAAACAAGTTTGTGCGTGTGTGTGTGTGTGTGTGTATGTGTGTGAGAGAGAGAGAGTGTGTGTGTGCAGATGTAAGAATGATTTGTATGAGTAAAGGTAGTGAATCGTCTCAACTTACCTCTGCACCTCGTACTCCACACGAATCGCGCTGTTCAGGCAGAGATAGAGACTGTCCTGACCGCGAGCATGAATCGTTACCATCGGCAGCTTATCGTTGGCGCCCTCCATGACCTTGAGCTGTCGTTGAAACAGAAGAGTTTTATATTAACGATATTGGATTCATATTTATTGACAGACTCCAGCTTACCAGCACTGGCGTCTGCGGCGACAGCAGGCCACGTAGTCGTCCCACCATTTGGTTATCAATCGGCGGCACATCATGCAAACGCACGCGCAATGCCTGAGCCGGATAGGCGGCAAGGGCCAGATTGTTCGCTTCCAGGCGATAAATGTTGGAGATGTGCGTTTTGCGCAATCGCCCGTCGTCCACATAATACACATCGAACACCTCCTCCTCGGGACTCTTCGGCTTGGCGGTGAGCATGCCGCGATGCCACTGCTTCACCCCATCACCAGTCTCGTCGCACACGCACACCAATTGATCGTGCAGCAGATCGGTGTAGCGCACGCGATGCTGTTCGCTGCTGTCGCTCATGATCCGGGCAATGCTGCGCTGCACAAACTTGAGATCTTCGTTGGGCAGCTGCACCATCAGGTCGCCCATATCGTTCACGTGCGAGACGAGCACATGATTCGGCTTCTGTTCCAGCTTCAGCATCGGTGCGGGCGTGTTGCGAATTATCTGATTGGCCACCAAATCATTCAGATGGATGTCCTCCGCTGTGGAGGTGTCATAGAAGGTGCCCACGATGCACGCACGCCTCACCAGCGATACTCCACAGCCATTCTCTTCGGTAGCGGATGCCTCTCGCTGGGGCAGCAGCACACCTTGAGCCAATCCACCGGCCTTGAGGAATTGTGCCTCGCTGGTAATGATGCGAGTGACAACGCTATGCCCGGCCAGCTCCTTGGCCAGCACGGGCAGTGCATGGGGGTGCTCCTCGAACTTGTCCAGGGCATACATGCTGAGGCACACAGCCTGAGCGGGCAGCGAGAGGAATTTCGATGGACACACATAGAGCATATCATAGCTAAAGACCACCTCGTCGCCAAAGTCCACAAAGTGGCAGCTGCACTGCCGCTGCTCCGCATCCAACGATATGACACGCACACGATTCCAGTTTTCGCTGACCTCCACCAGATAGATCTGCTGCTCCACGGGCTGCTGTGGCACCGGCTGACGATTCTGCAGACGTGACATATGCGCATTCAGCTGCTCGGTCAACCTTTCGAACTGTGCACTCTGATCGATCAGGCGCGCCCACACATGCGTCGTGTTGTCACAGTGCGTGATATACATGCTCCAGTCCTGCTGGCCATCCGTCCACGGCAACCGCAGCTCTGGCATGGCCAACGGGCCAACATTGCTCGGCTGCTGCAGGACGACGGGCGATGGGTTCTCAGCATTGGCAAATACAATGTGCGTGTTGACGCTGCTCTCGATGCGCATTTTGGGCGACGAATTGATCAGGGACCACCAATTGCTGGGCACCTGACGCCTCACATTCGCCTCGTACCATTCGGGCAGCTTGTGGCTAACGATGCCATGCGGATGCCTGATCAGCTCCTGGTACAGGCCATCGAGAAATTCATTATCGCTGAGAATCGACAGTTGTTTGCGCGCCTCAAGTGCCTGCAGCCGCTCAACGGCCACCTCAGCGGTGCGCTGCATTGCTGTTGCCTCATCAAAGTGCGCCTCCGGATAGCTGGTGAAGACTGTCTCGCCAATGCGCACCTTGCAGTGCAGCATTTGGGTTTTGTTCGCACTATAAAACTCGTACGCTGGCGGCGCATAGCCCAACACGACGCAATATTGCTTGAGCGAGGAGATTGCATCGTATGCGGGATCGAACTTGAAATGGATATCGGCACGTGTTGGTTGAAGCTGTGCAATGGAATCAGAGAGTTATTGCATTACCATTTAATTGAGCGAACGAAACTTACCTGCAACAGCGGCTGCTGAGCAGCGGCCACTGGCGTCGAAGTATTCTTGGCAGCTGCATTCTCGGGCGAGGCTGGTGGAGTTATCAGACTATCAACTGTCGAAGCATTTGTCGGCGCAGTTGCTGCTGGTGCTGCTGCTTTTGGTGCAACAACTGCCGTTTGCTGTTGCTTCAATCTATAGTTGACAGAGACGCTGCCTGTGGGACGCGTATCACGGATAGGATATTGAACTCGCGGATGCGTTGGCCATTTAATGGGTGAAGCGGCGACTGCAGCAGCACCAGCGCCAGCGCCTGGTTTTGCCTCTGCCGCTGGCTGTCTCATTGGAGCCGGACGCTGCGATGGCGCGCTATTGCCCAATATGGGACGCAGATGGGGCTTGCGGGCACTGGCGGCAGCAGCCTTCGTTGCGTTGCCGTTCATCTCAGCTGTGACAGTTGAATCTGGGAGCGTGAACTGAAGCGAACTCTTTGTTTGCTTTGCCTTATCTTCACGATGCTTCTGCTCTAGGATTTCCAAGTGATGCCGCAGCGCCAGGCGATCCGCCTGCAGTTGCTCAATGGTGCGCGCCTGTGCTTCGAGTCCACGCTCGTGCTGTTCCTGCAGCTGCTTAATCTGATTATCGATCTTTACCTGCTGCTCCTGCAATAGAAACTTTTGCTGCTGCTGCTCCTCGAGCAACTCCGCCTGACGACGCTGGATTTCAAGTTCCTGCTGCTTCTGTTCCTCTTGTTGCAGACGCAATAGCTCGAGCTTCTGCACCAGCTCGGCACGCAAGCCCAGCAGCTCCTGTTGCGGATATTGCTGCTGTGGCTGCTGATATTGTTTCTGCACTTGGAGTTGTTGTGAGGCTGCGCGTGGTGCACTATTTTGCTGATAATTGCTGCTTACAGCCGATCGCGCATTGTTATAGCCGGAGGGATTGAAGCGTATGTTTGAGCGGGCAGGCGCAGAGAAAGCCGACGATCGAAAATTAGGTTTATGCTTGCTTTCCTTTTGAGAACGTACCATAGAAGCAATATGCGCCGATTTGGGGTTGGGCTTGGCGGTGACAAAGATCTGAAAGAACGATTTAGCTTATTAGCCATCTATATTAAACATTCAACTATATAATTTGAACAATAAGCGATTTGATTGAATAATTGAATAATTCGAATCTCTAAAGACTCTACTAGCTGTCGCTTATCGGAAGTTTAGAAGGGTCTTTGTGGATGTTAATATTGATCACATACTAAAGAGCAGCTATTCTTGTTTAAGAGTAAAGAGAATAAGCATTTGATAGCAGAGTTTCTATATGTAACTAACTTTAATATTAAGATTATACAATTTAATGACGTTAGCAACAGCCACTTCCACTTTTATTTTGGATGATTCAACGTGGGACGTGATAAGGGATACAATACAAATGCAATTGCTTAATGTGAAATTGTGCGATCAGCGGTGAAAGCTGTCATTAAATAAACAATTAGTTAAATTAGTCACTTGATTTGCATTGGCATATGCATAAATGGAAAACAGTTGCTGGCCTTAAAGCGAACAAATGCTTTAATCTATATAAAAACTATATACAGTTG